TTCTTGGAGGGAAACCAGCAGCTTACTTTGTAACAGTTTAGCTTCTGTAAAGGAACCAGTTTCTCCTTACAAATATGGTTAATATTAATTATAAATATAAATCTCCCTCATTGTGTCAGCATGTGAGAATATTTACTCCCTGATTCAAGCTGTCCATCATTCCAGCTTGCTAACTTTGTGTTTAGAATATTATTTTTGGTGACTCCACACATTCCTACACATGTTTGGTCTTTAGAAACCAATGGTTAGTTAGCATGTTAGCCGGTTATAAAGCTACTTACCATGAGGTAATTCATGCTAGTGCTAATTTGGCTTTCAGTTAGCGAAGTTGCTTTGACCTGCTCTCCTGTTGGCTGAAGGTTTTCAGATTCAGCAGCAGGAAATGTTTTAACTTCTTTCTGATGATGAATTGATTTGAGTTTTTTTGGCTTTAAATGTGAATATAAATTCCTAAAATGCGCATTTTTGGTCAAAATACCCAGAAGTAGTGGGTAGTAACTAGTTACATTCACCTGAGTAACTTTTTTGAAAAAAATTAGTAGTGGAACTATTTTTACTATGCTGTACGTTACTTTTACTTGAGTAATTTTACTATGAAGTATTTCTACTCTTAGTTGAGTAAATTTTCTGGATTTTCTGCCCACTGAATGAAAAACAAACATGTTTTAACCAAAAATCCACCAAACAGACTCACCTGCAGTTTTTAAAGTTTCATTATATTTAAGCCTGCCGCAATAATCAATTAATTCTATGATAGGTTATAATAAGTTTGATAATTTCCATTTAGGGCAGTTTTGTTTACAGAGAAATCATAATCTGTTTTATTTATGGTTTTGGTTTAGTTTGTTTTCATTGATTGTTTTTTGTTTTATTTTGAAAATTCAAAATGTCTTCCAGTTCCAGTGTGCAGCATTTTATACAAAATGAAAGTTTAAATTTATAAATTAAAGTTGATGAAACTCATCATTAGACGGCAGACTTGCATTATTGCACCATTATTGTATTGGTTGATTGGTAAAATGTTTTATAGTCTGTTTTTTATGTAAATTATTTTCATTTAGTCCTTAAAATATCAACAATTTCCACTTATTTTTATATTTTGGTCTATCTGATTATGTAATTTTTAAATATTAAATGATTGAATCTGGTCAGTTATTCAGTACGTTAGTAGCTCTTTTTTAAATGCTTTTTTTATTCTTGAACACAGGTGTCAAACTCGAGGCCTGTGTGCCAAATCCGGCCCGCCATAACTTTTTATGTGGCCCTTTAGATTCAAGACTAAACACTGAATGAGCTTAATAATATTATGTTATTGATCGAATCAATGGAGTTTTTATCTGTTTACTGCCAAATTATATCAATCAGTCCCTCCAGTTTATTGAGAATTTTTATGGAATTTATTGGAGTTTATTGCAGATTTTTCTCAAAAATTGTCAAAAACTTTATTCCTTGCACTAAACAGCTGCCTCAGCTTTAATTGTTATGGCCCTTTAAGTTCATGATCTATACAGCGAGTTATAAAAAGTCACATTTACCGCCATAAATAAGCTCAAATGTTTCCAGATTAGAACCACAAACACTGTGATTTTATTGCAAAAAAAAGAATCACAAAATCCTGGAGGGACTGAAAAGATGTTCAATAATATTTAATTTTAAGAATTGATTGATCATTGATCAGGTTTTATCAATACATTCTGGCACAACCGGCCCTTTAAGAGCTTTTATGATCTTAATTTGCCCCATAACAAAAATGAGCCAGACACCTCTAACGCTTACTTTTCACTTTTACTTGAGTAAAAATATGTTGAAGTAGTGCTAATTGTTGGCTGATGGGTTCAAATATTTCAATCTTTTTTTAGCTCCAAACTGTAGGGTTTGTGAAGTCGTGCTACTTATTAAGTCACCAGCATATTAAAAACAAACAACTTATCGAATTTCTTCATGACATGCAGTCACGAGTCTGTGGTTAACAGGTTGCAGGTTTTGTAGGTGGGGGTTTGGCGAGCAGATGGCCTGGCCGGCCTAAGGGAGGAGCAGGGACTTGCTCTATTGTTCCCAAGGCGACACTCGGTCCTCACAGGGTGACCACAGCGCTCAATGCATCCCCGATTCTTCACACTGCAGCAGGACCATCTGCCTCTGTGCATTAATACCAAAGCAGGGCTCTTCTTAATAGCAAAAATGTTGATGACCAGTCAAATAGAGCAGCTCTAATCATAAGCCCTGAAACATCTAAAAGATCATCTGCCCCCTGCGCGGGTTTGTAATGGGCTGTTCTGCTGGTATTAAGCTGTCATTAGGAAAATGGACCTTGTTAATTTGAGCGAATAGCTCCACTCTCATGAGGGCTTCTGTCAATTCAGTTGATTACTAAATCAGAGTAAAAATCACTGAGTACATGTGAGCACATTTAATGTTCTGATTCTGGGTTATTTTTTCACAGCTCAATGCTTGGATTTCTAATGCTTTGTCCGTGCATTATATTTGGGTCACTTTGTTTCCTGAATGCATACCAATGTATCACAACAAAGTGTCCCGCTGCAGACTCAGACTCATCGAGGTCTTTGGCACCGCTCCTTTCACCATAACGTCATGGTGCCTGTAACTAGTACAGACACCTCTGTACTGGTTTGGGGGAAATAAATGTAAAATACCGTATTTTATGATCTAAATATGTGGTTTTCCTCTTTTAAGGAGAATATACACTGAACCCCATTGAAAACCTCCTGGTTATTCCACTAAATGTTGATTTCTAAACTATTACAGAGTTAAAACATTAGTGTTGTTCTAAATTATTATAAACTTGCTTTCTTTGCATTATTTGAGGTCTGAAAGCTCTGCTTCTTTTTCCTTATTTTGATCATTGCTCATTTTCTGCAAATAAATACAAAATAAGTTTTTGCTTGTAATTTCAGAGACATGTTGTCAGTAGTTCAGAGAATAAAAGAACCATGTTAATTTTACTCAAACATAAACCTACAAAGAGTAAAATCAGAAAAACTGATCATTTTAAGTGGTGTCTTACTTTCCAGAGCTTTAAGATTGTTAATCCTGATTGGTGCACTCTAAAACTCATCCAGTTGTCTTTAATGAGTTGAATCCAGTTTTTAAATTTGGAAAATAATTTCCTGTGAGTGTTTTTAGGTGTTTATGAGCTTTAAAATACAAACAAAAAAAGATGGGAAAATATGCATATTTGGAATTCACTGTTGACAGTATAAGTTGTCCAGTGTAGAAAAATAAAAAGATTATTGACTTTCTTTGTAAGAAACTAATTTCTTATTTAAAGCTGGCATTTAACAAACTGCTCACCAAACACTAAATGTCGTTATCGTATTTCCGCCAGGTGTCGTTACGCAGACAGGAAATAGCCGACCGCCTGAATGCCTGGACCATTTTCAATGATAAAAACAAAGAGTTCTGTGATTGGCTGACTCAGATGGAGAACAAGGTGTGCCACAGCGCGGAGCTGAGCATCGAGGAAATGGTGGAGAAACTAAAAAAGGTATGAAGTCATGGCGATTTTATACCGTCGTTGTTTGCACTTTTTTCATCAAAAGAACCTCAGATATGATACAGAAACCTTGAATTTGATTACAGTGTCTTCATTAAAAACACATGAAGCCAAGTGGTAGGTAAATTGTAGAATATATTAAGCAGATTAAATGAACTTTAATTTAACAACTTTTATTCCTTAAAAGTTAATTTTTTTGTCTGTTTGCAATGTGAAATTTCCTGAGGTGATCCTGAAAAGTTGACCCGCTTTTGTAAAAATGTAAACGGAATAAGTTCTAAATGTAAATACTGTTTATAATAATATCGTTTTGTTGCAAGTCTGATAAGTTTCCCTGTTGCAGCTGAAGAAAAGCACTGCAAAAACACAAAATCCTTCCAAGTCTTTTTGGTCTGATTTCTAGTACAAACATCTTAGAAAACTTGAAATAAAACAAAATTAAGTGACTTGGTAGGAAAATATAGGAGCTTGTTTTAAGTAAATAATTCCTTAATAATGATGTAAAAGTTCCACTGGCGACGTTACCTAGCAACGCCAGCCAGGCCCAGCCTGTTGCCTAGCAACCCAGTTCTAATTCCACTGGCAGATTATTTTACTAATAACATTTTTATGAGTTTGAAAACATTTCTTCGTTGTGCCTGCTGCTAGCATGTGCTTGTTCTAAATGAAAATTAGCACTTTCTTCTTTGATGTCCAATTTTGACTTCCAATGATTCACTTCCTGCTAAAGAGCCCCCTGGTGGTGGATTTAAAATCAACAGAAAAAAACCGCACTGGGCCGTATGGTTCAAAGCATGGGGAAAGTAGCGGCTTATAGTCCGAAAAATACGGTCTCTATCTATTTAAACCTGCCTGCATCATCATGGTGTTCATGTAGCTGTGTGGTCATGTGTCCACAGGACTGCATGGAGGAAATCAACCTGTTCAGTGAGAACAAGAGCCACCTGAAGCAGCTGGGAGAGCAGCTGCTGTTGGCCAGTGACCAGGCCAAGCAGACCCAGGTGCGCGGCTCGCTACAGGAAGTCAATCAGCGATGGAACAACCTCTTTCAGCACATCGAAGCCAGGTGAGAGCTGTCGCAGCGTCTGCTCAGCGGGAGTTTAGGTGTTTATATTAACCAAGCACTTCCCAAAACACTCTTCATGCCGTTCTGTGAGCACTTTGCAGAGATAAATAGTAAGGTGTTGGCAGGGTTGCAAGTCAAATTGTGTTTGTGTGGCGACATGAATCAGATTCTCAAGTACCGCTCTCAAAATTTACATCATTATCTTGTCAGAACAAACACCTTTCAGGGCAAAGCCACACTGCTGCAAAAAGCATAATTAAGTTCTGTGAAGCTTTGACTACATTCTTGGAAGTAAACAATAGCTTCTAAGGGTTTCCATCCACCTGCTGCTGTAAGCCGTGCCTAGCAGCTGTCGGGAAAACATAGCCTCTCATCTATGGACTGTGGAGGTTAAGCTCCTGTGTTGTTAAACTGTTGCTACCCCCCGTCAAACAGATGGGCAATCCTGTGGACGAGCAGGAGATACAAACCCCAGCTTCCCCCTCTGCCAGAAGCAGGGGGTAGTTTGGGCCGTCGGAGGGCTCAGACAGGACCAGATGTCCCCCGGTGCGCTCTGACCGGGCCCACTTCCTGTCACCCAGCGGTGTCAAACTCATCTTCGTTTTGGGCCAAATCCAGATCATGAATGCTCTTACAGGGCCGAATGTATTGATAAAACTTGTTCACAAACTGTTAAAATATCAATGAATCGTTAAAATTAAACATTCCTGAACATATTTTCAGTTCCTCAAGGATTTCGTGATTCTTTTTGTGTTTTTTCCAATAAAAGTCAGTGTTTGTGGTTCTTATTTAGAAATATTTGCGGTAAATGAGACTTTTTATTACTCTCTGTATAGATCATGGACTATAATCTGAGATCAGTTAAAGCTGAGGCAGCTGTTTAGTACAAGTAAGAAAGTTTTTGACAATTTTTGAGAAAAATCAGAAATAAACTTCCAATTATGTATTGGCACAAAAAGCTACAGGGATTTGTTGATTTTGTGTAAATTTCCACAATAATTCTCAAACTGGAGGGACTGATTGATATAATTTGGCAGTAAAAAGATAAAAACTGCATTGATTTGACTGTTGAGGTTCAAAGTTGTTGTTTTAGAAAAATATGGCCGTGTTCCTGAAGGTCTCCATGTTATTTCGCTTTATTACTTTTGCGTGCTTCCTGTGAAGAGCTCAGATAGGACGGCGTTTACAGTCATACAGCTACTGCTAATGTTTTCTTAAATTAAGCACTTAGTGAAAAGTTTAGCCCTTCATGTTATGGAAAGACAGTTGGTACAAGAGAAAACTTCGGTTTTTAAGAAAATGGCGGCTTATAAATGAATTGTTAAGATCAATCAACTTTAGATAAAACTGAGCTCAGCTTTCAATCAAACCAAGATATGCAGTTAAACAAGAATTGCCTCATAATTAAATGGTGGGCAGCAGCTTTTTCAGGTTGGTTAATGAGTAAAATCATAATTTAAAAGCTGCTTTTTAAAGTGCATATAAAAAAATCAAGAACAGACCAGCGTGTTTTCATTGCTCTGTATGTTTTAATGCTGAAAAAGAAGTCCTTACAGTCACATCAGCATGGTTTATTATGGTAATAACTCTGAAGTACTGAGGGACCGGGTGGTAAATTTGCAGCTAAAGTTGGCAAACATCCTCTTGAGGGAGAAGAAAGAAACAAGATTTGTTTCCACGACTCTTTTTAATTTTGCTGGCTGTAGTTAATTTCGGTGCAAGCGATATAAATTGAACAAAGCAGATTTTCGCTGAACAGCTCCATAAATACAGTGAGAGGAATAAATGTCAGCCGGAGTTTTATCTCTTTGTAACTTCGGGCCCTCCTATGGTCAGCTGCACTTTGTTATCTCAGCTCTCAAGCCATATATCCTCATCCTCGGCTCTTTTCTGCTTCATTTTCTCCATCCATTCTGTTCATGTCCTCTTCCTGAACGAGCCCCTGCCCGGCTTTTTCTGTCTTTGTCTGGTCTCCGCATGAAGCTGCCGGCCTTTGTTAGGCTGTCAGAGGTGGAGAGGGAGGTGGAGGGAGAAAGAGGCTTGTTAGTTGAGCAGGATGGTTGCATCTGCAGCAGTACTCCAATAACTTACACCGACTGTGTTGGGGATTAGATGCATCACTGCACCCCCCCGATCCTTCCTGTTAATAGTCATTAGTCCCATACATCATAAAACAACCACTTAATCGCTGGGTTTCAGACACGTGGCCCGGATGAAGCGCAAAATTCAGGTGGGGGTCAGGAAGTGGATTTCTCCGGTTCAAAACGGAGCGAAATGGATCACAGCGAGTAGCTAATGCCCTAAATGGGCTGGACCTGATGAGGCATCCACTTTGTCTCAGTAAAAAATGACTTCTCTTACAATGTTGAGGCGATCGACATTACTAACTGTCTGGAGCTGCAGACCTCAGATTACACGACGAGCCAGAAGAAAGTTTTAAAAAGCCTGGAGAATGCGGTCATTTAGTTTCAGGTTGGGTCAAATTTAGGATCAAAAGAAGCATTAAATGGCTGTCGACTTGTTTCTGCCGGGTGAGTAACGAGTTGAGCTATTTTAAGTAATTAGTCTATGATAACAATGCTACTGCTAACAACAACAAGCTAACCCATGTTATTTCTAAGTGTTTGGATCAACTTGCAAATTTATTTATCCAAATTCATGCTGGAGTTGTATGTTAATGTTGAGTCGTTCTGCATTTCTACAATGTAGGTCAACCATTCGGTTCTGCAGAAACCCCATTAAAACTTGGTTTGACCAAAAATAATACATCTTACTTTACATGTGACGGCTGCTTGTCTTTCTCAGTAACTGTCCAATAAAATATCATTTTAATTTAAACGATGCGATCGTTACCTCTTAGAAAGCGGAAACTCTGGCATTGTTGGTTTCTGCACCTCCTGTTTTTAGCTGCAGATTGTTGACACACTTTTCTCATAATTTCTCAGTAAGTTTTTAAAAATTAACTCCCTTGTGACCACGAAAATTATAACGGTTGTACCAACCGTACAGGCCTCAGACTCTTTGATGGTGGATCAACAGAAGTAGACGGGCTGCATTTACTTCCTGACCTCCATCTGCGCTACGTGACGTCGGTGCTACGTCACCTGAAACCCAGCAGTAGAATAAGAGTTACTCAATTAAGTAGCACTACAAGGGTAAGAATTTAATTTTAACCATTTTTTTTATTGAAGCTGTTAAAATGCTTAGAAGTGGTTAAAAGCCCTTAGCATGTCTTCATTTTAGGTCCTTATTATTTACTTTAATTAATCTTTACTAAAACTCTGCAACTCTGACTTTGTTTTGAACTCTCACACCAAAGCCAGTGGAAAATGTCAACATTTTTGATCTGCTGGTCAGGAATGTCTGGAAAACCCTGGCATTTTTTAATCTCCTTAAATTGTTTTCTTGATTTGGATTAGTTTGGAAAATCCCAGTTTCTATTTAAATGCTGAATCAAACTCTCTGTCTTTCTTTTACCACTACATAAATTTTACTTTATTATGATCCATTTTGGCCATAGGAAAAAACTAGACAAAGCTCCTCAATGTTGGGCTTTACAGGAGTCTTAGTGTCTTCGTGAAAACACATTAGGACTGTGATGTCTTCGTGTTTTTAGATCTGAAGCTCACATTACTCGCATAGGAAGTTGGGACTCTGTGGTTTGTTCTTCTGTCCGACGTTCTGCAGAAAGCGCCTCTCCGCCCGGCTGGACGTCCGCAGGAGAAAACGATCAAATGGGGGGAATTAACTCAAACTCCAAAAACTGGGCACACTTCAGCCTTTTAAGCCTCCAGAGAGCTTTTATTGTCCTGCCCGTTACCATGACAACGGCTAGTGTGGCGCGTTGCGTGTTGAAGTGAAAGATACCAGAGAAGTTTCTCTTTGCAAAAAGCTTTCTCTCTTTTTCACCAGTATGTTATTTTTTTATTTTCCTTTCATTTCGAATTATTTTATTTTTTTATTCTTTTTTTCTAGTTTAGTTTTTCTTTTTCTGTTATTCAGTTTTTTTTCTTTTCCTACTGTGTTTTCCTTCACCTTCTGTTAGCCTTTTTTAATGCTCTCTTTCTTTCTTTCTTCATTTCTTTTATTTTTTCCTCCTTTCTTTCTATCTTTCTTTTGTCTTCCTTTGTTTCTTTCTTTCCTTCTTTCTTTCATCTTCCTTTCTTTCTTTCTTGCTTTGTTTTTCTTATTTGATTTTCTTTTATTTTCTTCCTCTTCATCTCTTTCTTTCTTTTTCTTTTCCCATTTGTCTTTACTTGAGTTTCTATTGTTAGCTCATTTATTCTTTGATCTTTACTTTCTTGCCTTTTTTCCTTTTTCAGTATTTTTCTCTTGTTTCTGTTTGATTTTATTAATTTTATTACTTTTGTTTCTTTTTTTCTGGCCTACTACTTTCTTAAAAATATTTCAGAATATTTTCATTTCCAGAAAAAGCATCAAAGAATCAAATGCTCTCTGAACAGCTGCGTCTCTTTCTCCCTCTCATACCTTAATAAGTTAATTGAGTTTTGGTAACTCAGTCAAATGATGGTAAAAGGTTTGTTGAACATTAAAGTTACTGACTGGGTGTTTGTCTCTTCCTAACATCTTTTTAAGGGTGAGGAAGCTGAAGGAGACTCTGGTGACGCTGCAGCAGCTGGATAAGAACATGAGCAACCTTCGCTCCTGGCTTTCTCGTATCGAGGCCGAGCTTTCCCGGCCAATCACCTACAGCGTCTGTCATGAGAACGAGATCCAGAAGAGGCTCGCTGAACAGCAGGTAAATTACATCCACAGGTTATATTTAACTGTTTGGATTTTGTTTCACTTCCTAAATATATTATTTTCCCCTTTCATCTTTAGTATTAATATTTCTACATTTTCCCACATTTTGCTGCTCACTTTTTCTCTGTTTATCGTTAATAATTCTCACCTTTTGTTTGCTTAACGTTAGTTAACGTGGTGTTGTTGCTCTTCAGCTTTATTCTTTAATCCACGTGTCAAACTCGAGGCCCGGGGGCCAAATTTGGCCCGCCGTGGCTTTTTATGTGGCCCTCCACATTACATCAATAAGTCCCTCCAGTTTTCACAAATCTGTAGAAGTCACACAGAATCAACAAATCCCCACATTTTTTCTGATTTCTCAAAGTGAACAAAAACATGCTGCCTCAGCTTTACTCGATGTCAAGTTAAAGTCTGTGATTGATAAGGCGAGTAATAAAAAGACATACATTTGCACAAATGTCGTAAAAATTTTCTACAAATATTTCAAAATTAGCATCACAGAATCTGTGATTTTGATGGAAAAAGAACGATCTGGAAATCCTGTAGGAACTGATCAGTGTGAAAAGATATTTAACTTCAAGAAGCACAAACAGCTATTTCTTTATGTTTTTAACAGTTTAATTGGTTTGATCAATACATTCGGATGTTTGATCTGGGCCAAAATGTAACATGAGTCTGCAGACTGACGGTCAGGCGTCTGTGCAGGACCTGCAGAGGGACCTGGAGCAGCACACTGAAGGCGTAGCGTCCGTCCTCAGCCTGTGCGACGTTCTGCTGCAGGATGAGGACGCAGCAGGCGGCTCGGAGGCGGAGAGCGACTCCCTGCAGGAAACCAGCCGCAGCCTGGACCAGCGCTGGAGAACCATCTGTGCTCTGGCTCTGGACAGAAGACTCAGGTAGGTGCAGTTTGGTTGACGTGAACTCTGGTGCGGTTTGAATAAATATGTGAATGTAAGCCGATCAGAGACTGCTCCAAAAGCACGAAGCGGACTGTAAAGCAGGGAATTCTGGGTAAATGAAACCAAAACAAAGAGTGTGAGTCTGGTTCTAGAGGGAGAAATGACTAGTGGACTTCTACTAAAATCTGACGCCACTCTGTTTTTAATTTACATTCTGCGAAAAAGAAAGTTGTGCTGAGTGTCTTCTTCTGTTGTTTATTTTAGTAGTTCTTGGTGTAGCGCCCCCACAGGTCAGGAGTGGAACAGGTGTGAAAATGAACCGCAGCAGCTGAAAATGTAACAAATGTTGCAAGTTTAGTCCCAAACTGAACTGAATAACTTTCACTCAGGGGAAAAAGACTTTTGCTGTTTTTAGCAAACTATTTAATTTGTCCTTAGAAAGCAAGAACAGCATAACTGCCTGTAAGCGACCTGCTTGTTCGACCTTGCAAACATTTTCAGGTTACATATTTTCAGCATAATTCATGTGAACCAATATTTCAAGCCACAATAAACACTATAACTCCAACATGATGTGTTCTTGCAGAATCGAGGAAACTTGGACTCTGTGGTGCAAGTTCCTCAACGACTACTCCCGCTTCGATGATTGGCTCAAGATGGCGGAGCGAACTGCTGCCAACCCGAACTCTGCAGATGTCCTCTACTCTGCAGCCAAGGAAGAGCTGAAGAAGTTTGAGGTCAGCTGGTTTTACTGTTAATTTATGTTGTTTCAGTAAATGACACATTTCCCTCCGTTGTAAAAGCGCCCATTAAGATTTAGAAGTTCCCCCTTTTTTGTTAAAAGACTAAAAAATCTCATCATTGTGAAACTTTAATGTGTGATTTGATCAACTTTTGTCAATCTATTCAGTTAAATTTAAAATTTCCTGGAGTTTGCCTGAGTTTGCTACATAACTACTAAACCGCTGAAAATAAGTAAATAAATATTAGAGCTGAAACGATTAATTCGAATTAACCAATTTAATAATGGATTAATCGTTAACTGGAGCCTGCAGACTCTAAAGATGGCAGTTTGCTGAAAGAACGCCTTCAGAGCAAAAATTAAGCAAATATGTACAACATATATAAATATCTAAGATTCATTTCTGTCAATCTTTTCTACCCAGAACTTTCTGTAGAAAGTTTCCTACTAAGCAGCTTTTGCTGTCCAATTACTAATCCAAAAAATAATAAACGGATTAATTTATAGTATTTATTTAGATGTAGATGCATCTTTTTGCTACCGGTAATGAAATGTTCACTAAGAATATGCTTTTACTGCATTTTAGGGAATGCAATTTACATTTTTTTATTCAAAAGAGCAATTAAATTATCTTATTTACATAGTTTTATTGCATTTGTCATATTGTGTGCAGGTGGCTTAAGTGGTTAAATAAAAAATCTGCGCCCCAATGAATATTAATATTAGCTTGTTTCTGTTACTTTGATGGAAAAGCTTAAACTGTATTAAGTATTTAGTGATCACAGGTGGATTTTATCAACGTTACAAGATCCAAAACAGTTTAAAAAAAGCTTTACACTGTTTTCTTATTAAAAGAAAAACGGACAGTTTCCAAGTTTTGGGATCATCAGTCGTTTTCTCTAAATTTATACCGTCATTGATTCAATCAGAATCATTTCACTTTTAGCTTAAGCATCAAAGAAAATAGTATGTAAACACCAGAGCTGTTTACATACAATAAACAGCTCTGGAAAGAATGAAGAAGCCTCTTAAAATGATCAGTTTCTCTGATTTTACTCCTTATAGGTTTATGTTTAAGCAAAATTAACTTTTATTCTATGAACTACTGACAACGTGTCTCTGAAATCACAAGCAGAAATTTAGTTTTTATTAGTGGAAAATGAGAAATGGTCAAAATAATGAAAAAGATGCAAAGAAAACAAGTTTATATTCATTTAGAAACCACAATACTGATGATTTTATTCAGTTCAGAAACCAATATTTGGATCAATAACCAGGTTTTCAGTGGGTTCAGTGCAGTTTTTTCCTATTCGTTGTTTTTTGTTTTGCATTGAATGTGATTTAAGTTGGGAACGGTTCTCTGCATCGAGACCATAGATGGATGTAAAGATGCAGTGTTTAAATAGGAAAACACACTAAAATCCATTTACTGATTCAATAACAATGTGTTTTCTTCAGGCTTTCCAAAGGCAGGTTCATGAGCGCCTGACTCAGCTGGAGCTCATCAACAACCAGTACCGCCGCCTGGCCCGGGAGAACCGCACTGACCGAGCCAGCCAGCTCAAAGCCATGGTGAGGGAGGGAAACCAGCGCTGGGACGGCCTGCACCGCCGAGTGGCCGCCATCTTACGCCGCCTGAAGGTATTAATCACACCTAACGCACGACTCCAAAGGGACGCACCGATCCGATGTTAGTACCTGAACCAGTTCTATTCAGTCTGTTTCTATGCCTTATGAGGCCTTATTTGTTCTACATTATACTTTCTGAACCATATTTTCCTGATGACTTGGACTGAAGCTTGTGTATCAAAGTGAGCCGCACAGGTGCAGAGTTGGCAAATGAATTTGTACTTCAGATCGTTTAAAAGAAAGAAAATGTTTTGAGTCAATCCAGCGATGTTTCTCTGTGTGAAAAAGTGCAGACATTTTGGCACGAGGGCCAAAAATGTCAAATTGCAACAACTGAGGGGCCCACAAAATGTTTAGTACTTTTATTTATAATCGCAGAAACTATTTTATTTTGTTAGCTAAGTAACAAAACACAGTATTTTAATGAATTAAGCAAAGCAGTCAGATATCTGTAGTTCTTTGTAGATTTAAAGCAAATAAGGATTTAGCAGGGTTTACAGATTAAAAATAAACATATCCTAATTATTTTTTTATATTTTTCTGGATTTTTCTTATCTCTTTTTAGCAACAAGAACATTTGGTGGCTCACTCTTTATTTTTCCAACTGCATGTTTTAAGTCCCTTTTTCTAATAAATTAAATTAAAACCAAACCTGAATACTTCTTGTTGAACATTACATTTTCAATTTAAAATTTAAAGATTTTAAACAACAAAAAAAAGTTTAGGTTATTCTTGAAATGTGATCAAGGACCGCCCAAAATTTTCCTGAGGGCCACCAATGGCCCCCGGGCCACACTTTGAACACCCCTGGTTTACAGTAAAGAGAAAGCTTAGTTTGTTGCATCAGTTTTATAAATAAAATGTTTCCACGTCATCATATGAGCAGCTTTTACACCAATCCAGAAGCCTGAAATGATGGTAATGAAAATATTCTGTGTTTATTTTCATTTTGTTCTCCCTCCTCCATGCTTGTCTTCGTTTCTCCCAGTATTTTACCAGCCAGCGGGAGGACTTTGAAGGCACCAGGGAGAGCATGCTAGTTTGGCTGACGGAGCTGGACCTGCAGCTCACCAACGTGGAGCATTTCTCCGAAAGCGACGTCCATCAAAAGATCCAGCAGCTCAACGTGAGGCGCTCACATCTCACATATCCGATTTATTACCTCTGAAGGAGAACTTGTCAAGCTTTTAAGCTGCTGGTTTCGTATTTTGGTCGAGGGATGACTCTCTTACGCCTCATTAGGAGGACACTTTTAAATTTCACAAACAGGCATGTGTTGCTCGTTCTGGTTTTCCTGACTCCGTCTCCGTTCGTCCATCCATCTTCCGGCAGAGCTTCCAAAAGGAGATCAGCCTGAACACTGAGCGCATTGACGGGTTGATAGTGTTTGGTGAGGCTCTGATCCAGAAAAGTTCAGCTCAGGATGCGGCTCTGATAGAGGATGAGCTGGAGGAGCTTCACTCCTACTGCCAGGAGGTTTTCAGCAGGCTGGTCCGCTTCCACCAGCGCCTCAGCCAGCCTCTGGTGAGCCGGACCACACACACGAGCTGCACTCCTTACTGTATATCATTAAGCCTTTAAATTCCACTAAGTCCTAAAAAAACACACACATTTTATGTTCTTTACCCACTGTCTCATATAAAAAACAATGATATATTTAAAATATGTGCCAGTTTGTAATTTATATTTTACAGTGAGGGAACTTATCAAGCTGCAAAAGGGCCGGTAGCTATTGGACCTGTTGAGAAAATGACTAGAGATTATTCTCACTGTAAAGGTAGATGGAGAACATTATTTCCATTATTTCCATTATCCTGCAGCAAAAGGCTGGAACTTCAAAAATAGAAACTTTTGAAGGTATTTTGAAGAATATCTTGTCTGAAACCTGAACATGTTTCAGCTGTAAATGCTTATTTTATTCCAGGGGTGTCCAAACTTTTTGGCATTGGAGCCAGAAATGTTACGCTGAAAGAACCAAAGTATATTTTTAATCATGCCAAAACGTTTGACATCACTGACTTTTCTAGAAAGAGACAAAAGAAAATCCAGAAAAAGATGAAAAATGTAGGATATGATTTGCTGTTTCTTCTTGTTTGTTTGTTTGTTTGTTTTAATTTGGCAGACCTGCAAACTTTTGTTTCAAGTCTGCAAAGAATTACAGATATCTGACATCCAGATCAAAAATAACCTAAACTTGTTTTGGTGGTTAAACTCTTAAAATTAAAGTTTTTAAAATCTTTGAAAGACTAATAAAAAAATAACAATGTTGTAATATCCAATAATAACAATGTTATTATATTCAAAATAACATTATTTGTAATTAATATTTTAATAAAATAATTGTATTTAAACAATAATGTTAATTTAAAATGTCTTTTTCAAATATTATTTTTATTAAGTTTTTAAAGCTTAATAATATTAAATGTTAATATTAATACTTTTATTTTTGGAATAATAATGTTAAAAATATTTTAACCTTGTTAGCATAACATCAAAAATATTCATTGATATTATAATGAATATTTTATTTCATGTGAAAGCAACACGACTATTATTTTATTTCATTAAAATATTGTGTTGTTTATTTAAAAATAAAATAGTTTCTGGTTATTAAAAGTGCTAAAGATGTTGTGGCCCCTGTTGTTTGGCCAAAACCTTCATTCTTTAATCCAGATGATCAGGGAGGAGCCCGACCTCTCTGACCTCACCGTTTCCCTGGAGTCGAGCTTGGAGCTGATTGGTCGGCCGTGGCTGGGGCGGAGCCAGACGAGCCTGCCGGCCACGCCCACTCACCTGCTCGGTTCCCCTCTGGACCGGTCAGGGCGGGAGACGCCGGTGAGCGTCGACTCCCTGCCTCTGGAGTGGGACCACACCGGAGACGTGGGAGGGTCGTCGTCGCACGAGGATGAGGAGGAAGAGGAGGAGCAGGAGGATGAAGGGGCTTACTTCAGCGCGCACTCAGGTATCTTCAAAATAAAATGTCTTTGGATTAGTTCAACAGTGCCACAGATACGGCCCTCCGATGCTTTTTATTATTCTTTTAGGGTGAGATTAAACAGAAAACTTTGAGCACAGCAGAAATACTTGTTCTCTAGTTTTGCTTTTATTTTTATCTCATAAAAAGTTGAGTCACAAACATTTTGTGAGTTTTTACTCAAAAACAAACTGGTCACACACATCCACTGTATTTGGATAAATACAACAATAATTCTTATTTTCTTTGCTGAGAAACTAAGTACATTTTATAGACTTAAAAAATGGAATATAATGAGCTGAAAAAGTAAAATGACTGTAAAAGTTTAAATATTAGATGTTTTATTTATTGTTGTGCAGATAAAAGAAAGAATTCACAATAATATTTTTATGGGGAGGGGGCGGGGGGAGTAATAAAAAAAAATCGCCCCTGAATATTTTCATCTTGGGAATTTTAGACTTTAGTGTAAAAAGTTTGGACACCCCTCATTTAGGGGTTTCTTTTTTTTTATTGCTGCTCTAGCAAAGACTAATGCAGCATTTTCACTTATATCAAGACGTTTATCAGCTCCTGCTTTTAAAGCCTGGGGTAAAACAGCGGATGCGTTTCCCGTTCGAATCAGATCAGATGGCTGAACTTTCTTTAGACGGGTTGTGGGTATGACATCGAGACAGAAGGAGGTCAGTCGCCTCGTCGGATCCAGAGGGTGAGATTTATATTTCGGCTTACCTCAGACGGGTCCAGCGGGGTAGGAGCTGATTTCTGAGCTGCCTGTCAGATAATTCATGATTTTGAGTCATTGGTATGTTTGTCTCATTTCCAAAACCTGCATTGGCCTTAATAGTTACCTCAAGACGATGAATCTTCGATTTTGTTCAGCTTAGAGGAAGAAAAATAAAGTAAAATGTCAAAAAAATAAATCCCATGCTCCTTAAACTTGAATTAATCCAGTCGAGTGTAGACGCTGTAAGTGTGACTATAAAAACTGGATGTAATAAATAACTTTAACAGGCAAAAACTATCAAACAAGACCTGCTACACATCTTCATGTTCTGCGTCGTAAATCCACCAGCACCGCTGCTCCTCGGGGTGCAGGAAATGCTTCCAGGAAATATCTTCCATCATATTATATATTAGACACATCCACACTGTTAGTGGATTGTAAACCTTTTGGTTTTTCACAACAAAATTATAAAATATTTTTAAAGGAGCTAAAACTGGAAGGTCAAACTCATGATTCTCATTTTGTGTGTCTTTAAGTTGCAAAGATTCCTTAAAGTTTAAGAGTAATGATTGATTTTTGGGTTAAATTCAAGTTTTCAGTTAAGAACACGTCAGGATTAAATTCCCGTCGAGGTTGGAGCCCATGTTTGGTTAACTAGTTTTACCGCTGTACAATGGCTGCTGGAAAAGAGAAGTGTTTTGTTGTTGACTTACCATCCAGAAACAACTTGTTGCATTCTTGTTGGTTGTGCAGTAGGCTCCACTTCTGCTTTTCCAAGATGTACGATTGTATAATTGGATATCTGTTTGCAGCCATTTTCACCTTCGAGTGTAAACATCAGTTATTGAAATTTGTTAGGATAAGTCTGTAGTCTATACAAAACATGCTCATTACATTTTTTGCACAAAATAATTATTAAATAATGACATTTTAGTTTTGAGCTCCTTTCAGAATGAGCTGTCTTAGGGCCTTTTGTCACTTCAAGTCCAAATACGTTGCCGCTTTCCACACCCCTCAAATCCACGTTTACACTCGCATGTGAAGATGATGCGCAATTGTACAACATACATCTTTGAAAAGCAGATGTGGAGCCTCCTGCACAACCAGGAAAAAGAATACAACAAGTGGTTTCTGGATGGTAAGTCAACAAAACACTTCTCTATTCCAGCAGCCATTGTACAGCAGTAAAACCAGCTGACCAAAGGTGCTAGATCTCCACTTGTGTTGCTAGGTAACGGGTAACATTTTTTTTTCTCAAGCGATTGGGTTGTTTTCAGAAAACCAAATTTCCCTGAATTTTGCACGGTCGGTCTCCTTTAACCTGCCGATACATTTTGTTCTGCAGCCTCCAGCCTGTCTCTGGCTGTCCGCGATTGTTCATGGAGAACAACAGAAGCTCAGCCGGATCCAGAAGGACACGCCGAGCCGACGCCGGCTCTGACCAGCACGCCTCTGAAGCAGGGCTATGTACGTCTCACGGTTCCCTCTGCGAGGCCTCGCCGTCCAGCCAGATGTCAGCCCTGATGATCTACTTGTTGTGCTTTTCCAGCTGCGGCTCATGTCCCAGTGCAGCGGGAGCATCGAGAACATAAAGAGAGTCTCTCTGATCCTCGACGACGACGACGAGCAGCCAGAGGAGTTCGGCTTGACGGGTCTGAATGCCTCAGACAAGCAGTCAGGTGAGACTACTGCGCAGAAAATATCATTTATTAAGACTGTCTGCACTGCGAGGGAGGACTCAAAACAGACATCTGCCATAAAATCTCAGAACCAGTGTAAAAGAAACCAGGTGGTGCATAAGTTATGAGTGCATGCAGTCAAGGAATCGGTTCAAAAGAAAATAAATTAGAAAAATACTCATGAACCGTCATTTTAACTCATTCACTTGGGAATCTGCAGGAGTTTTTTTTTTTTCTTTGTACGTCAGAAAATAAGATATTTGGACAGAAAAATTGAAATCTGCAGAAACTTTGACTGACTTGGACTGAAGTTAATCATTTTGACAACAGAGACATAAAATCACGTCGTTCCCAGTGTTGGGTTTGACGGAGGAACCGTGAGGCTCTTGGTCTGTTTCTGCTTAACTGGACATGGGAACTTTGAGACAACTTTAACATCTTTGGGCATTTTAAAGAACTACAACTTGCTGCCAGAAAACTGAAAATAAACAATAAGTGGATGTTTCTGTGGGATAATGATGCAGAATATTTCCACAAATCCACATAAAAATGGTTCACTTCATACAAAATATTTTAATTTCTCAGTCCTCTGATTTAAATCCTATAAAAACCTGATGGTTGGGCAAAGAGCAAACATTTTAAACTACAGAAGTGCTTCTTTTTCTTACCTGAGAAAGATGCAGTAAGTTGTTCTTATTGCCACTTTGTAACATCAGAAATATAAAATAAAAACTTGAAGTCCATGTCATAGAAACACCAATAAGTGTAAAAAACGCCCGAGTTTGTTGTGTGTTTTCAGGTGTGATCGAGCGCTGGGAGCTGCTCCGGGCCCAGTCCAGGTGCAGCCAGCAGTCTGGCACTCTGGATCCTCAGCAGATGACCTTTGACCTGGACGACCTCACTTCCTGGCTGGAAACCGTGATCCCTGAGCTGGAGCGCCTCTCGCAGTCTGAACCTGCAGGCGGCATAGAGGACATGGAGTCCAGAGCCAAAGAGCTGAAGGTGACGATTTAATCCGAGGGATTGGCTTTAATCCAGATGAAGTTTTAAGTGATTTATTTATTTTTATTCTACGTTTTTACAGGAAATGGAGAAAGCGTTCTGCCACTACAAGGCCATAATGCTGTCGGTGAACCTGCAGGCGAAGGAGGCTCCAGAAACGCAGGACAGAGTGGCGAGGGCGAACCGGGACTGGAGCCGAGCGTGTACTGGTCTGCAGCGCTGGGACCACAGCCTGAGGAGGAAGCTGATTCGCTGCCAGGTGGCAAGAAAACGCTTGAATGAACCGACACGAGTTAATATCAACGAGTCGGGTTCATTCAAACTCAAACTGGGTCGATTGAAGCTTTACAGGTTTATTTAGTTGGTTTCTATAGGCGAATTGGACCGGCTTCCATATTTAGTATTTTATATCACGTTGGTGCTGATTGAACACGAATGACTGATGCTATCATGAAACACTAATATTTTAAAAATAAAATTGTAACTCAGCTAATAAAGTATTGAATACAAATAAATATGAAAATTAAGCAAAAACCCATATTTAAATTCAGCTTGGATAAAAGCTGATTTTATAGAAATTAGTTAATAATTTGCTTATACACCATAACTGTAAATCCTGGTTTTCCGCTACCAGAAAACCAGAAGTGGTGTTGCTCAGAGTGTGGCGCCGGGGGCCGTGAGTGGCCCGCGAAATGATTTTGGGCGGCCCTCAATCACATATCGAAAATTTTCTGAATTTGGTTTCCAATCCCAGACAATTAGAAACACATTTAAACAAAATGTGAGGCTGCAATTTTCAGAAAAAAACTTAAAACCTAACATGTAAAAGTATTCACTTTTTAATCAGTTTTTTTATTTGCAAAATAAAGCAAAAGTGAGTCAAATCTTTTGTTTTTTTTCCTGTAAAGATGCACAGAAAAAACAAAACTAGTAAAATCACAACCCAAAAAAATGCAGGAATTGGTTTTCTCATATTTCAAATCGACTATGTTTTTAAATTATTGCTTGTTTATCAATGAGAGGGTAAAAATCACAACAGCTATCCAATTTAAATAAAAATTGTCCATCTTCACGTTTTTGACACCCTTATGTCTTAAAGTTTGGAAAATGTTAATTAACTAAAAGGATCTGTGATAAAAAAGAGATGTAAGGAATTCGGTAAAATAGTTTTACTCTGTTGAATCGTAGCGCTAACACTGATTGAAAATGTTCTTATTCTGACAACCTGAAAGTTATAAAATAAAACATCTGTAAAAGATTAAAATCACATTTCAGTTTGTGATCTTTTCTTCCTCTGACCGCGACTCGTTTTCCTCAGATCTTTTAAACACCGTAGGAAAATTAGCTTTAGATTTTTTGCCCACTTTTAAAAGGCCAATTTCTCCAATTTCTCGTCAAACCGTATAAAACGCTTGATCAAGTTTTAGAGTAGCATTACACAAGTTTTATGGACATCCTGCTCCTGCCAGAACCTTTTGAAAATATATTGCTGTTGTCAAACTCCAAAAAAGGCCCATAAACAATAAAGCATGTGATATCTTGTTTTTGCTCAACTTTCCAGTAAATGCAGGACTTTAAGGGCGAGAAATTTTGAACTCTGATATATTTTTGTTTTTTTTTTCCTGTGCAGGAGTTTCATGAAACTCTTCAGTCTCTGCTGCTGTGGCTCGCTCAGGCGGAGAGCAGATGCTACAGCGTAGATGTAAAGCATCCAGAGACGAGCGTCGGAGCGCTGAGACGGCAGGAAGACAGGCTGACGGTGAGCGGCAGATTAACAGATTGGGATGAGAGATGAAGCGTCGGGACCGAAACAGTTCATCTGATTAATTGATTCTTGTAATAACTTAGTAATTCAGTAACTGATGAATCGTTAACTGGAGTTTACAGACTGAGAAAAAGGTCATTTGAGGAAAAAACGACATACGCAGAGCAGCAGTTAAACCTAAACGGTAAAAAAAAAAAAAAAAATTTTTTAATTAAAAAAAAAAAAAAAAAAAAAAAAAATGTTGTCTACCTGGAACTCTTCAAGTTTAGTTTCATCTGGTCCAAATTCTGTGAATAAAAAAAAAAGTCTTTTTTCCTGTGGAAGAAGATTACGTCCACTGGAAAAGTACATTTAATCTTCTGAGATTATGTTGGAATTCTGAGATTAAAGTGAGAATTCCAACTTTAATCTCAATTCTGACCTTTTTATTGCAGAATTGAATTAAATCTTCTGAGATTAAAATGAATTATGAGGAAGAAGTCAGGATTTTTGTTAAGTGGTCCAGATATAAAAGTCTCTTAGCTGCAGATGTTTCCTTTGCTAAAGGAAACATCTGGACCACTGTTTCCAGATATTTTTATGCATTTTAGACAAAAATATTTATTTTCTGATTTTAAAAAATGACTTGATTTTTATTTTATTTGCACATTTCAATGGGTTTCTAATCTTGTCTAAAACAGGGAGACTGTTTTTTTTTTCTGCCCGTTAATCGGTAGAGTCTGCAGACCTTCTTATGTCTGGTGCTGCTTACGCTGTGCAGGAGCTGCAGGCGGATCTGCGCAGCCGGCAGGCTCACCAGGCGTCTCTGCAGGCCCTCTGGTCTCAGCTGCAGCCTGAAGACGCAGCAGAGGACTGCGACGAGGCACAGGAGAAGCTGCATGTGACGGGCACCAAGCTAAAGCAGCTCAGGAGGAAGGTGGAGGACGACCTGCGCGCCCTGCAGCAGCGCCTGCTGCTCCAGGATCCCGGCTCTGCAGAAGCAGACACAAAAACAGCCTCCTCCTCCACCCTGAGGTACGTACAGAGGACGGGTTACGTAGGGGTTAAATCCGCTTCTATTAACTTTTGTTTCTGTTCTTCAGGTGCAGGAGGGAATCGTCCCCGCCCCGATCGTTCTTCTCCCGCCTCCTCAGAGCCGCCTTCCCCCTGCAGCTGCTGCTGCTGCTCCTCCTGCTGCTGCCCTGCCTGATTCCCCTGTCGGACAGCGAGCCGGGCTGCACCCTGACCAACAACTTCGCCTGGTCCTTCTACCCCATGCTGCACTACACCAACGGCCCGCCGCCCACCTGACGGACGCTTGTGTCCAACGAGAGACATTTCCCAACAATACCTGGGTGACTTTTCAGGAAAATGTTTTAAAGACGACGTATTGTGCTTCCTTGAACCGGTTAGATATAAACAAAACATGTAGAGATTCCATCTCTGCCCATTTTCCAGAATGTTTTAGGATCCCCGTCACTTTAAATCCAAACCATCTGCTGCTGGCCTCGCCCCCAACTCAACATCTGCACCGATATGTAAAACAGATGCGCAATTATACAACCATATGTCTTGGAAAAGCAGAAGTGGAGCCTCCTGCACAAACAAGAATGCAGCGAGTGGTTTCTGGATGATAAGTCAACAGCAGCAGCCATTGTACAGCACATACAACTCTGGAAAAAATTAAAATGCTCAGTTTCTCTGATTTTACTTCTTATAGGTTTATGTTTGAGTAAAATGAACATTGTCCTTTAATTCTATGAACTACTGACAACATGTCTCTGAAATTACAAGCAACGATTTACTATTTATCTCCAAGAAATGAGAAATGGTCAAAATAAGGGAAAAGATGCAAAAGAAAGTTCAAGTTCATCTAGAAACAACAATATTAATGTTTTAACTCAGGAAGAGTTCAGA